TAAGAGTGAATTTTGAAACATCTGTATTAGGATTTCAACTCTATGTCATTTCTATCTTTCTCCACTTCAGCACCTGTAAAATGTTTTATCTGTAAAGACTTTTAAAAACTGTTTAATATGTGAACATACTCTTAAGTTCTTCATCATGATAATTCAAAATTTTTTGACACAGCACATCATTAGCCCCACTTCTACATGATTCACATGTGAGCTCATAAAATTTCAGTTTTTTTTCTTTTCAACCACAGTACACCTGATCATCCTCTCACTGCTTGTCTCCTATGTTCATGATACCTTCATTCAATGTGGAGATCTTTCACCTGCCTTTTTTATCTGTGTGTAACTGATATCTGACATCTATTTCCTTGGTTTCAAGTAATAACTGACACACAAATATTAACTGGTTATGTTGAGCCAAATAATTTAATAGCTAATCCATAATTTCCCACATACTATCAGCTCCTTATTTCCAAAACAATTTACACTTTCATTTTCACAGCATTTTGACACAAACTGGGGGATGGCAGAATGTTTTAAGTAATCAAAGATGTTCTGAATTTGCTGTATCTGTTTGCTTTACTGACCTGGGTTTCTTGGTAGACTCTGTTACTATTTTGGTTAAGTTGATTGATATGGTTGATTCATTTTGGAAGCCAAGCCAAGTCAGACCCTTAAGCTCTAAAAGATGTAGTGTACACACTAGGGCGAACTCACCTGGCATCCAACCCTAAATGATTGAAGGTGGGTTGGGGAGAACTATGCAAGGCATCCTAAATAATATAAAAAGAAAAGACATGTCAGGATTAATATAAAACAAAACAAAATGAAACTGAAGATGGGCCTTTAACTCTGACCTGTAAAGACAAAAATGACTGTTTAGGGAAAAGTTGCATTTACATGCCGGACCTTAAAGGAGTGATGTGGCATCATTCAAGGATTAATTAGGAAAAAAAAAGAAACCCCTCTCTCTATTTCTAGTAGAAAGGTATTTAATATAGGAACTAATGTGCTCCAACACATTGGGAAGGACCAGAGAACTGACAATCTGGATGGGTTCTGAGTGGAGTTTCAGCTATGTTCCAGGGAGATGGAAAATTGCCATTGTCACATAAAGGTTAGGAACCTATAGCACATCACAGTAGCTCAGTCATGCATGACCTTCAGGAGAAATAAATTCAGTCAAAAATCAAATAAAACTCACATCTGTCTAAATACCTACCATTTTTTTTCAGAAGAGAAAGAATGGTTTCTACTCCTCCCTGTGTTCTAAGTATCTCATAAGCACATTTCAGTTTAGCAGAACCTATAGCATACCAGGAATCCTGCAAAATTGGGGCTGAAGGGAAATCAAGCAAACAGAGGCCAATGACAGCATAAACAAGGGTTGGTGAGAACTCACAGAGTAGTAACAGATACCTGGGGTCCCTCTTGGCATGGAATTCAAGGGGTAGCACACAGAAATCAAGCAAGGACAAACCACATTTTAAGAAAGAGGCTCTAAAACTTGAGCTGTGGGGTTTTTTCATTAGAGGCTTCTTATTAGTAAAATAGTGGTAAGATCAAGGACAGAGACACAGTAACCATATGATGTGTCAGAAGTGGAGCTGTAGCCTCATCCTTTTAGCTCAGCATACATAGGATTGGAAATACCAACCCCTCCCCTGCGTGATCAGGTGGCTGTATGTATGCCTTATGATTGCAGTTACAAAATTTGTTGAGCTAGTGACGTTACCCAGTATCTTGTAATTGGGTGAGCACTAGCCCCCTTCTTGATGTAACTAAGGGAGATGGAGTTCAAGTATTACAGTTGGCCAAGATAGAGTGCTTTAATTATTGGAGAGTAGCTAGTTTACACAAAATCAACCCTTTTCCTGTCTTGGATAAGTTAACCTTTACTGCTTTTTTCCACCTCCAATCTATATCTCTTTACTACCACCCAAAATCTCATTACTTGGTGTAGTAACAGACTGAAATGTTTATTACTTAATATTACAGTCTTCAATTCCTACCTTTTTTAGAGCTATGCATTCACACCCTTTGCCATGTAACTTTATACCTCCCACTAGGATAGCCAGAGTATGTATTTCCCTGCTCTTTATATATTGGACTTGGCCATGTGACTTGCTTTGAACTGTAAAATGCTAGTACGTGTGATGTGAGCAGGAACCTTAAATATGATTCGTTCTTTATACTCTGAAATTAGAAAAGCATGTTCCAGAGGAACATCATGCTACCTCTTCAGCCTAGTTTCAGAAAGCTCATGAAAAGACCTGAACCATTCCAGAAACTTGGAATCCAGCTTCATTCAGTTGTTCAGACCAGATCAGCCTAATCTAGGCTGATTTGCACACTAGTGAACATGTGAGTGTGACAATGCTTATCTTTGTTAGCCCCTGAATTTCTTTTAGGTTTTCTTTTTCTTTTTCTTTCTTTTTTTTTTTTAATTCCTTGGGAAAAGCTAATACAGTTTTTCTTGGTTGCACTGGCTGCTATAGCCTTCGATTATCTTTACCTTCTACTTCCTCTGGATATGAGAACATTAAGAGACATCCTTAGAGAATTATTTCAGTATCTGGCTGAGTTCTTCCTATTGCAATCATGTAGCATAAACTTTATTTGCCCTTGATAATCAGGATTACTCTCCTTAACCAGCAGGGTAATCGTTTTTTTTTTTTTTTTTTTTTTTTTTGTCTGTTGGTTTAGGGGCACGAGGAGCTGAAAAGGTGACAGTCTCAATTTTCACTTCAGTGGGAGCATTGCTGTGTGTACTGATGGAATCATTCATCTCTTGGTGATTATAATCTCTGTGGCAGAGAAAATTAGGGCCAGCAAATATTAACACCCATCTTCTATTCCTCGAAGTTGACTTAAGGCCATGTGGTTGAGTTCTGGCCAATGTGAATGTCAGCAGAGATGATCGCATCTGGTCTGTGGCACTTTAGTGATGACATGTTTTCTTCATTGCTCTTTTTCCCTGTCAGCCAAATTTTGGAAGCCACTTATGGCTAATATAACTAAAATAAATTAATATGATTACTACACACTCTAACCTAGCAAAGTCCAAAATTTTGGGGATAGTAACAAAACATTGTTGAGTGATTTATATATTACAGTTACACTGATTTCCATTCTTTGGCTCTCAGACAAATATAGGCTAGCCATAAGAGAAAGGTCACCATATGGTGGTTACTCCCTCAGACACATTTAGAATGACATCTGAACTTCAAATGTTCTTCTCCCAATTAAGACAGTAACTAAGTCTTCAATAAGCTTATTTCAACATTCTCTAGAGCCATTGCATTTCAGAAATGGAGTAAATGTTAAGACACATGCAGTATATGGGATGAGATGATTGCTTCATTAATTTGGCTCTAAAATTAGTTCCTTGAGTAGAACAGAACAGAATTTATGTAAAGACTATAATGATGGAGTAAGCCCAGTGCTAACAGGAGCTTTGCAGAAGCAAAGGCAAATAAACATCCAGAATAAGTTTATTTTCTGGTGAGGAATAGAAATTCCCTCTATGATGGAAGGGATCAAATTAAATTAACCTGCCTACCATGTGACTGTCTAGTTTCAATGTTTAGTAAGAAGGTAACAGCTAATCCAGTGCAAATGATGATTAGCCCAATGTTATTACTCATTGGCTCTTAGTAGAGATTAATAGTTAATAAAATAATCATAAAAGTTTATTCTACTTTGATTAACCAGTATTTATCTTAGATAATCAAGATAATCCAGTTTATGTCCTTGGTGCATATCCTATTAATTGAATGTGCAGAAATGGACTAGCTATTTCTAACCAAATCTTTCTTGCTAGGCACATAGCTAGATTATTGTGGAAGATTGTATTCTAAAGATGAGTGCAACAATATCTCCTTCCATCCCCCATGCTCTCATTCAATGTGGTCTTCTCACTCCCCCATCTAAGCAGTGGTGCCTATTCCTCTACTCTTTTGAAACAGGATTGGCCCTGTGACTGAAAGAATATGGCAGAGGCAGCACTGTGCCAATTCCAGCATAATTCTGTATTGAATAGGCACTTTCCCTTCCTGCTCCTTGAAATGCTTGCTCTTAGGATATTTCCTCTAGGAAGTTAGCTATCATGTTTTAAGAATCTCAGGTCCCAGAAAAGGTTACTTGTGGGTGTTCTGGTCAACAACCTCAGTTAAGCTACCAGTCAACAGCCAATATCAATTGTCATTCATGTGAGTGAGCTATCTTGAGTTTGAAGACTATTGTAGACTTCAAACCACCTCCCTTCCCCCCACCCCCCACATGAAAACTGCCCAGCTGAGTCTGGTCAACTTTCAGAACAGTAAGAGACAGCACCTAATCCTTCTCTGAAGGCACTAAGATGGAGGATGATTTGTTATGCAGTAATAGATAACCAAAACAACTACTTTCCTGTCCGTCCTTTGTCATGCAACTGTGACTCTGGCCATATGACTGCTCTGGCCAATGGAATGCACATTGAAGATGTTAAATATTATTTTCATACTTGGCCCGTAAAAAAGTTTCCATGTAACCCAATATCTTTTCCTTTCCTGAAAGTTGATGCGTAGGATGACTCTGGAAATCCCATGGTGAAGAAGTCAGAATCTGAGTCAGCCTGAAGCCTTGAGACTATATAGAACAGAGCCCCCACTACCAGCAGAAATGAGGCTTGGATTTGCTTCAACAAGCAATACATGTTTCTTGGGTTAAACAACTATTATTTGAGGGTGTATGTTACAGCAGCTAGAGTTATGTTAACTTATATAATGTAATATTCTGATATGTCCCTTAAACTGCTAACTCTTTGACTTCTTTGTCTATAAAGTAGATATAATAGGCCCTGATCCTCATGCCTCACTGAGTTCCTATAAATAGTAGATTCCATACTGGTGTTAAGATGTTTTATAAAGTAAAAAGTAGAATAAAACAGCACTTCTGATTATGGTTCTAGCTTTGACACAAAGTATTTTAAAAGGGCCACACAGCATGGATTTAGAATCACATGTATTTGATTCATCAGTCAGTATTGTGTGACTGGGGGAAATTATTTGGGCTTTTTGTGAGAAAATAATATGATTATGATGTATAATTGACCGTAATTAGAACCTATTAATTACTAAACATACATCCATTTACATCTTCTAAAAAATAAATATGTCAGTTCCTGGAAAGAAAAGTTATTAGCACCTATGATTCTAATAGTAGAAATCCTAGGTAACTATCAACTTGAGAACTCATAACTGATCTGAGAAACTATAACTTGACTTCAGTTGCCCCCTCCCCTTTTTTTGGCTTAATTCTTTTTTTTTTATTGGCGGCAATTAGAGAATGAATTAATATAAAGTTTGCTTCATATTTAACACTTCTCTAACTTGGAGAAAAAAAGAAGGGAAAGATCTAGCATTTTACCCTTACCTTAGCAAAAAATAGTATGATATTCTTCTTCACCAATCTAACAAGTAATTCAGTAATTATACACAAACAGAAAAGTCAGGTAATTTAGGGAAGATTATTATCCTAAGAGTTGCATGGCTGGTGACATTAACATTCCTCTGTCAAACAAAATCCATAAGGAAAACAATGAGAGTTCTAATTTGGGAAATGCATTCTAGGTACAAACTAGATAAAAGGTTATATAAAATAAAGACATTTAGCTTAGAGGGTGTATGCAGTTAAAGAAAATAGTTTACAGATGAAGAAATAAATGCACTGTTTTGGATGTCAAGAAGAACAAATTATGAGTTATTGACACATTAAAATGACTAGGTTTGGG